TTTCCCTGCCGCAGTCTGGCTGGGCACAATTCAGGAGCCACTTGTCAAAAGAAACGAACTTTATTTTTAGAACCACAAATGCCAAACAAAATAGCTCCTCAGGAAAACCTTCAGAGCCCAACTGCCACCACCGGCTTCCCACAAGCCTCTCAACCTCCCCCACTCCTCCTGCTCTTGAGGTCCATTGGCTGGGTCACGTGGGCGGAACCAAAAAAGTTCCCCAGTGAGCAGCTCCATGGTCTGAAAGGGTGGGAAAACAGCCCAATGAGCATCACCGCAGAGGAGCCAATCAGTTGGCAGCTAGAAGTTGCTGGGGCCGCTGTGAGCCAATCATTAGCTGGCAGCTGGAAGTTTGCTGGCAGCTGGAAGTTTGCTGGGGCCCCTTCGGCTGTGGCTCTCAACATTTTCCACTGCCCCTGTCCAGTAAAATGGGGAACTTGACAACTTCTACCTCACAAATAAGTCAGTGTTCATGAATACCTAGAACACTACCCGAGCATAGTAAATATTCAATAAGCATAAGTTGCCATTATAATGAATTACTTTTTTACTTTTGATTTGCATCCCGCCCAGTTAGCACATACTTATTTTCTAATGGTTTATTTAGAATGTACAGCTCATGTCATTTCAGGGCAGGGACTACCTCCAGATTTCTTGTACATATCTTCATAGAGCTTAACACAATGTTTGATACAAAATAGGGATTCTGTAAATTATGGGGTTTTTTCCCCATGTGGGTTGATATTTAGATAAATAGAATTTTACAACTATGGCTGATTTTTAGATGTTGTCAGAGAAAATGCCAGTTATGATGTATTAGCAGTATACTTTGCCAGTGCTCTAGGTTAAAAAGGCAAAGACCACTGCACACTTATAATTTTTAAGCTACATAAGGTAAGGCTCTGTTGGATACTTTCAAACTGTATATTGTATTGTGGTGATATGAACAGCGTGATTCTAAGTCCTGAATTTTAAACAATCTTCTACTAAGGCATTTTTAATGCAAATTCTTAGCTGCTAATTAGAATTGCTGGGTGAACAATATCCAAGCTATATTCCAAACCAGTTAGCTCAAAATCTGGATGCCAGTATAAACACTGGGTGCCAGTGTTTATTAAATCTCTTCCAGTGATGCCTCCATATAGGAAAGTTGGAGAACTATTGTGCTAGACTGTCAGACTGTAAAAATGTTACTCTATGGGATATTCACCTGGAGTGGGACAAAAAGTAGCCACCTTATAAAAATCCTGTCAAATAGTATGTGGCCTAGACATTGATTCACCTTCTAAGAAGGGTTATGAGGAATGCGGAGATCTGAACTCTTATTTTGTTCAATTCATTTCCCTTCCCACAATATTGTGGCTTGGACTTTTTCTTTTTTCTTTTTTATTTTTTTTTTGGCCAGGCTGACTCCTGCAGATGTGTCATTTTCCACTCACTGGGTCCCTGCCTTCTGCCTGCTCAGAGGGGGGTGGCAGTACTTGAGTCATGGCTGTGAGTCTGCTTTGAGACTCTGTGATTCCCTGGGAGTCACTTTTCCTCCTTGCCCTGTGGTTTCTTTGGCTTGATGAATTTTGTCTCAGATGCAGCTTTAAAGAAGAAAACTTTGAATGAGAAAAAAAAGCATATTTTGTACATGTCAGATATAGACTTGTTTTTCTGTTTCTTAGGCCACTTATGACCTATTCTGAATGACTTTCTAGTATAAAAAATTCTATTTCACAAGTTAAGGTGATAGATATATATATTTTTTTCTGAAGTTCTTATTTTTTTAATTATTCATATATTTAGTAAAAAAAACCAAAGTTAATTAAATTGATTATAACACGTAGGAAGGGCAACTATTCAAACACAGGGCAGGGACAATGGGTGAGGATGGAAGTCTGGGCAGGGCAGGGACAATGGGTGAGGATGGAAGACAATGGGTGAGGAGGGCATGGCTGTGTCTGATGTATCTTTCTGTCATTAGGCCTAGCACAGTAAGTGACTTCTCTCAGTGTTTGATGTTAAGCAGAAGTTAGATGGATCCTTGCCTTGACAAGCACATAGCAGTTAATTGAGCAGGGATGAGTGGGAGGAAAGAAAAGGTGGGGGGCTTCTATGACTAAAGGGGAGCACATGCTCACAGGGGTGGGTGAGGCGGGCTCTACCACCAGTGCTAGAGAAGGGCTGTGGAGCCAGGCATAAAGGATGAGAAGGGAGAGCAGGGAGGGGTGGATCCTGCTGAACTTTGTAACTGATGCTGAAGAGTTTTTAATCTCTCTGGAAACTGATGGGGAGCCATTTAAGGAGATTTAGCTGGGGATTGACAGGATCATCCTTTCAGAGAAGTCACTTTGGTAGAATACAGGAGTGGAGGGAACAGAGAAACGTATAAGGAGCCATCATGAAATTCAGTACACTGTGCCCCTCTGACTTACTTTATCTTGTATAGAATGTGCCTAGCTCTGAGTTACTGCATATTATAAAGCAGTAGTTTGACATGAGCTATTCCATGTGGATGGAGAATGTCTTTATATTTTGTAAAAATAGACTGCCACCATCTACACAGCACAACCATAAGGCAAAAAGTGATGAAAAAATTATCATGCTGATAAAAAATGATCACTTGCTAACTTATCAAATTAAATCAGAAGCACCTGGATGCTTGCGTGTATCACACTCATTTCACAAAAAATCAGGCCCATGAGCTTAACAATCTCTGCAGATGCAGCCCCCTCACCTGAAACACATAAAAGGAAGGGTACCTACAATGGTGGTATAGTGGCACACGCCAGCCTACCATCAGACCATCTCATGAATGGGTCATGAGGTCAACAGGCTAAGAACTCCCTACTCTGTCCCTAGGGCTTTAACTCAGCCGATCTCCCTGCTTGATGTGGCCCAATTCAAAACTGCCTTCCTTCCTTCTGGACCCTGGCATAGAAAAAGTTACAACTCCAACAGCTCTGTATTCTGAACAGGCTCTTTGGCTAGTTCATAATTTTATCGAACCACCTGCAGTGACTCTGCATTTGTATTTGCTCTCTGCCTTTGTTCCCGATAGGCCACTTGAAGCTCTCTGGCTGCCTTAATCCTTCCTAAATATCTTTAGTGGTGAAGAAATGTTTGAGAAGATTCGTTTTTATTTTAGATTCATTTTCTTCAATTAGAGCCAAGTAAAATTAAATAACTTTCTATAGCCTATATATCATTGTGTAATATATGAATTTATAGATATTGGTAGTTAAGATTGAAATGAAATAAAATAATCTGTGATTCCTTTAGTCACAACACCAAGTGAAACATGAGTATGCTCAGTGAATTAGAGCTAAAGAAAATGATACAACATGTGAATTTATTTTTATGCAATAAATTCATTGTGGGAAGATATATGTGTCTGGTCCATGTTACTGGATAACTCTCTCACAATACCAAGGGGGAAATGATGATATCCAGAACCATTTGGGGGGAAAAAAGTTAAGCAATAACCTTGTGCTGCACAACAAAATAAAATTTAGAGACATTAAAGATGTAAATGTAAAAATGAATTAATAGAAATGTAAGAGAATATGTTTTTAAATCTTAGGGACTAGGAAGGCCTTTTAAATCATGAGACCAAAGACCAGAGATACAAGTTAAATAATATATTGACTGTGCATATTTTGCTAGATGCTAGGGGAATGTAGATGAGGAAACTTGATTTGTTCATTTAGAAGTCTTCAGAAGTGTTGAAAGGTAAGAAAACAGTACATTCAGATACCTTGGGCTAAGAGCTATGTTGGAATTAAGTCATGGTTCAGTATGGCAAAATGGTCTGGGAGATGGAGAGGAGAGACTTGTCAAAGGAGAAAATGAGCTAAATCAGGGGATTGTGAACAGGTGGGAAGAGAGCATTTTCGATAGAGTATACAGCTTGTGCCTATGTGGAGAAAGGACTCTTTTGGTATTTGGGGTGTGTAAAATACAAGGGGATGAACAGGAAGTACTGAAGCTGAGGTTTAAAAAAACCTGAGAGAAGACATCTTGATTTTTATCCTGTGGATCAGCACTATCCAGTAGAAATTTCTGTGATACTGGAAATGTTCTGTTCTCTACTGTCCAATGTGGCAGCCACCAGCCACATATGGCTGGCTACTGAGCATTTAAAATGTGAGTTCCTAGGGCTTCAGCTCAGCTTCAGTGCAACTGAAGAACTGAATTTTTAATTTTATCTAATTTTAATTAATTTACATTTAATTAATTTACCATTTTAGCTAGTGTCTACTATTTTGAATAGTGCTGCTATAGAGAATGTGGGTTTATTGATTTTTTTTGGTAGAGAAATATGATGAATAGCATCATATTTTAAAAAGATCATTCTGACCTGCTCACAACTAGGTTAAGGTGTTCTCATGCTGAGCATAAGCAAGTTTATAGAACTTGAACATCAGACAAGGTTACTCTAAGACTTACCTGTCTGGTATGAAGATGCTTGGTAACAAAGTTACTTCTACTTTGTGATGACCCAGATCCAGAAGATGAACCATCTTTTCCTGAAACTTCAACGGGACTGGGGAGTGTCCCAGAATACAGGACTTTCAGTACTAAAATTGCAAAGCTCCTGGGCAAATCTGATCTCCCCACTCTCTGAAGTAACCCAATACAAGCTCAAATATTTTAATAAGCTCCTCCTAGCATCCTCATACTGAGAAGCTTCCCAGTTCCCCATGGTAGTTGTCTTTCTTGTTACATTCTGAGAAACCCAAATGTATTCAATGGCAGGTGGGTCCTGGTGGATTTTACTGATGGGCAAAGATCAATCAACAAAATCAAGGTAAATGCTATAGTAGGTAATTTCTTAATACTGTTTTAAATACTTAATTTTCCTCTAGCAATGAAAAAAGTTACATAACTTACATGAAGTCCAAGGTGCATGATAAATCTTAATATTAAAATGTCAAGAATTATTTTTATACCATGATAGGAAGGAATTTGTTTTGTTCTCTTTATAACAGTGACCCTTCCTTTCTGTCTTTCAGGGATCATGTCTGACCACCAGTTTGGTAACCAGTTTATGTGCAGTGTGGTGGCCTCTCATGTGAGTCACCTGCCCACAACCAACCTCAGCTTCGTCTGGATTGCCCCACCTGCTGGTACTGGCTGTGTCAATTTCATGTAAGTACCCAAAGTGTCAGAGATGGCTACGGAAGGCAAATGCAACTTTTCATGAGTTACACGAGGGGTAACTTTTGTAAAGTATTATTTTGATAGGTTAGACTTAATTAAAACCATTAATTTTGGTGTCAAAAGAGGTCAGAAAATTTTTATAAAGTAGCTTTAGCAATTTATTTTTGTGTATTCATTTATAACTTCCAGATCTCTAAATTTGGATTTTAACTGAAAAAAATAAACAATGTGATAAAAGTGAAATTGCACTGGGAGATGAAGAATGGGGAGAGGTTATTGAAAGGGTACAAAGTTTCAGTAAAGATGAATGTTTTACAGATCTATCATACAGCATGCTGACTATAGTATGGATTTCAAAATTGCTAAGACAGAAGATTTTTTTCTACTTTTTTTCTAGTATTCTTTTTATTATTATAAATATTAACTCATATTAATGGTACAGATTAATGTATTTCCTATGACATGTCTATACATGGATATGTTGTTTTACTCATATTTACCTCCCTGTAAGAGATTATTAGATTTCAAGAGTTCTCATCACGAAAAAATGATAAGTATGTAAAGTGATGTATGTTAATTAACATAATTTCATCATTCCACAGTGTAAACACATATCAAAAGATCACCTTGTACCCTACAAGTAAATGCCATTATTTGTGAGTTAAAAAAAAGATTAAAGTAATTGAAGAAGTCAGGACAACAGTAAAATGAATGTTCAGAAAATGAGGTGAAAGCCGGTACAAGCAATGCTTTGAGATTTCACATACTGGAAGATGATTACAAATTTCCTTTGAGCTTTTCTGGCTGTTAGTGCCCAGAGGGAAATGTGATTGGTTAGGTGATTCTTGGTGGCCAGAAGTCAGGTATTGTATAGAAACCTAACTCTCATGAGTTTTCATTAGGAAGAAACTGGGGGAGTTAGTGAACACAGCTCTTAGCTGCATCCTTATATAACCAGCACATCAAGGTTCAGAGACTACAACTTGTTACATCTCTCCATATAATGCCCAACCCTGTCCCCTGAGCCACCACTCCCACCCTTCTTAGTTAGCTGATTTTTCCCCCATAGTATATTTTACTTTTACCACATGTTATCTTGCATTTATATAATTATGTGCATTGTCCATTATCTGTCTCTTCCCACTAAAATGCAAGTTCCCTGAAGGCAAAATTTGGGGTTTTTTTCCCACAGATTTTCCAGAGCTGTCTGCAACAATCTCTAGGACACAGTAAACACTCCTTAAATATTGGTTGAAGTGACCAGTAGGCCAAGGTAATACAGACACAGATAATTCAGAAACAGTTATTCCGTGGGCAGTGAAGAAAAGCAGCACTAGAAGTTCTTGAATGGTTTTCTCTTCTAATCTCCTGTGCAAAAAGCAAAGTCCCACAAAACCTGTGTACTCACAGAACACTACTACCTTCCCCTTTGCAACATATAGTTCAGTGTTAGGAGATCCTATGGCTCCCACACCACTGACTATGTAGTCTGTTTGCTTAGTTTCTGGGTGAGGTAGGCTGGTAACATCAAATTCATCCTATATCGCCAATGGGCATTTAATCCAATCATTTTCTTCCATAGAAAGTTTTTTGTACCTGAATCTTTTCCTTCTAGTACCTCCTGCTAAGATAATTGCAGAAACTTCCTTATTGGCCCTCACACTTCCAGCCTGCTTCTCCCCTAGTCCACTCTACACATTGATATCCACCTAATCTTCCTAAGGCCAAACCTGGATCACTCAAAATTTAGATAAGCATGAAATTCTCTACTGAAGGCGTGGATTTGGAGTCTCTTCCCCATCCTGCTGTTTTATTATCTTCTATCTCTTATATCCTGTACCTCCTGATAGAGCACAAACTGGCAAGATTCGCCACAATGTCCTGAAAATCCCATGGCTTTCTCTCTCCATGCTTTTCTCTGATTCATGCAATCACTCTGATTGTTAAAAATTCTACGTTTTTTCAAGGCTTGTTTAAAAACTTGCCAAGATGCCAACAACAACAGTGATATGTACTAACATGTTGTTCTTGTAACTTTATTAGAGTGCACATTATACTTTATCATATAGTGATTTGAGTTAATTTTTTGCCTTTTCTCTTAGATTAGATTAGACAGAGACAAATTTTTATTTCTTTTTGATTCCTCCATATTTGGTACAGTGTCTCATATATAGATAACCAGGAAAATGTCCCTTGCATTATATGATGTTCTATGTTGTCATTTCCTTTAGCTTGTGATCCCTGATGTTCTTACTATGTTTTCATGTGTGTTGGCACTTGGAAGGGTAAATTCGTGTGTGTGTGTGTGTGTGTGTGTGTGTGTGTGTGTGTACATGCATGCAGTAAGGTGTTCTATCACCGAGACACATCCCCAGCCATTTTTATTTTGAGACAGAATCTCCCTAAATTACCCAGGATGTCCTCAAATTTGTGATCCTCTTTTCTCAGCCTCTCACACCACAGGTATTATAGGTAGGGGCCACCAAGTTCAGCAAATTCTTGTCATATATAACTTCTTTAATTTAAAATAAGAATTGCGTTTTTAAAAGATAAAACACAAAGTAAATCTATATCAGCAATATAGAACTGCCTACTTCCAAACGAATTTAGGTTTTTAATTGACTCTATTTAAAAATTATATTCTATGACTTATAATCCCATTGATACTGAAATTCTATTTCCTTCTGAGAGTTTTAAATCTTAATTCTAATTTCTTTGCAGGAGGCCAGGAAAATATCATTTGGTTATAAGTAATTTTTACTGACTGGAAAGACATTTACACACCCTTACCTATATTTTCCAGTCAAATTTTGAGGATACAATTTATATTTTTAGCATTCTCCATAAATGGTTAATCTCCTTATTGTCAGCCATGATGATGTTGAACGTTACATAGAGTAGCTGCTTATTATGTGGGCAAAATGCTTGTTTTTGACTAGAGCTACATACAAAGGTTAGAATTCGTAATTAGTAAGTGTCCAGCAATACTTGAAGGGGATTACTAATATTCAACACTAATTTTACATAGTAAACAAAAACAAAGTAATACAAAAGCCTCTGAAGCATTGGGAGGTAAATATATTGTATACTATAAATATCTTTTCTGATTAACATGAAATTCAAGTTAAAATTTTAGTTTTTAAAGGTAGGAAGAATTCTTTTTAAAATTTGTGTGTATTAACTATACAGAATATTGGGTTTCATTGTGGCATATTTGTAGACGTATATAACCTGTTTTGATAATTTCTCTACTCTATTACCCTTTCTTAATCTCTCATCCCCTATTCCCCCGGTCCCCTTCCTCTTCCCAGTTTCCCTTCTATTTTCATGTCATCTTTCTTTTACCCTCTATTTCACATATGAGAGAAAAGAGGTGATGCTTATTTTTCTGAATCTGACTTCTTTCACTTCATGTGGTGATCTCCAGTTCCATTCAGTCTCCTGAAAATGACATGATTTTATTGTTCTTTATAGCTGAGTAATACTCCATCATGTATATGTGCCACATTTTCTTTATCCATTCATTTGTTGACAGGCACCTAGGCTGATTCAATACCTTGGCTATTGTGAATTTTGTTGTGATAAACCTGGGTGCACAGGTATCTCTATAATAATGCTGATTTTATTTTTTTAAGATATATACTGAGGAGTGGTGTAGCTGGATCATAAGATAGTTCTATTTTTAGTTCTTTTAGGCACTTTCATATTTATTTCCATAGTGGCTGTATTAATTTGCATTCCCATCCATAGTGTATAAGAATTCCTTTTCCCAGTTTGACAGAATTTATTATAATTTGTATTCTTGATTTCTGGGGTGAGAGGTGATCTCAATGTAGTTCTTTTTAATTTGTATCTCCTTAATGACTAAAGATTTTGAGCTTTTTTGCATAATTATTGGCCATTTGTACTTCTTCTTTGGAGAAGTATTTGTTCAATTAATTTTCCCATTTGTTGATTAGGTTTTTGTTTTGTTTTAAGGTTTCTGAGTTCTTTATATATTCTGGATATTAATCCTTTGTCAGAAGGGTAGCTTGTAAAGAATTTCTTTCATTTTGTAGGCAGTCTATTCACTCTGATAATTTTTTCTTTTGTTTGTAATTTAATGTGATTTAATTGATTAATTGTTGATTCTTGCTGTTATTTCCTGAGCTATGGGAGTCCTATTATCTTGTCCAGAGCCCAGTTGTGCCAGGGCCGTGGAATGGGTTATAGACAGGCCAAATAACAGAAACAGCATGGGAGACATATGTTTTATTGGGGAAAGCTTACAAGAGACTGCTCCAAGAAGAGTTTCAGAGGTGACAGGGTGACAGGTAGCACTTTAATCCCTCAAGGTGCTTTACCAAGTGACACCTCCTCTTTGTCATGGTCTTTTGTCCAGAGGCAACCAGCTAGATGAGTGACATGTATCCTTTCCACAGTGCCCTCTGTTCTGTTTCCTCTCAGAGGGGTTTTATATGTTAGGCTGAAGAAGCAATGACATCATCAGGTTCAGCTTTCTTAGTTAGCTTGGATTACCGACATCCCAAGAGCAACAGTTCTCATGTACATGCAAGAAGGAAGCTTTCTACAGGTAACACCAACTTGCCCTAGCGCCCAATGTACGGAAGAGAAAGCCAGGTCCTTCAAGATAATATGTATCTAAACTTTGCAGCCAAGCTTGCTCTCATTGTTCCCTTATCTTGACTAGGTATTTTGGGAACAGAAATGGGGCATTCAGGGACCTGGTGTTTTACTGTCCCCCTGTACTTTAGGGAAAATATACCTGTCTCAGGAAGTCATTGCTCGTTCCTATATTTTGAAGTATTTCCACTATGTTTTCTTCTAGCAGTTTAAAAGTTTAGGTATTATACTTAGGCCTTTGATCCCTGGGAATGTAGCTTACTGGAAGAGTGATTGCCTAGCATTTGGGAGGCCCTGGTTCAATTTTGAGTACCACACACACAAAAAATTATATTGAGGTCTTTGATCCATTTTGAATTGATTTT